ATTAAGTGGCTCAGTACATAACCAACCATTTTAAATAAACTTCACCAATTCTACCAAGAAGAATGATCAGATATCAACTAGAATTTTACCAGAAGCTTACTGAGGGTGGTCTGCTAAAGAATGAATCCTAAAACTTTTTTCTCAGCGGTTATCATCAAATAACACAGTTTTGAACAGAAAAACTCAATTGTCACCACTTTCTCTTCACGCTAGAAAACCTTTTTTCTTTCATGTTGGGATATCCTGATATCTAAATATAATTTTAGGTTTCTTCTTTCAAATAATATAAAATTCTCATTAGAACAACATGAAATACACTGGAAAAAATATTTTGGGTGTAGTAACATTTATTTAATTATTCTTTTAAATTTTTCCAAAAAATATCAAAATTTCTAAACTACTAGAATTTACTAAATGAACAATACGCATTATATTATATATCAATATTACTGTACAAAAAAAGTAAGTGCTAATATTATTTTACCAGTAATATTTAAGTGCTTTTTCTGGACAGCACATAAACATGAATATACTATATTAAGTAACTTCTACTCTTCTGGACTAAAACTGAGGGTGCATGCGCACACAAAGGCTGCTGCTCCTCATTCCCTTGCTTCATTTTTCAAGGAGAGGACAAGACATGGTGGAAATAAAACATAAGTTGTCTGGTTTCTTTTGCTTGAAAACATTTGTTGGTGTGCAATAGTTTGATGTCATAATGTAGGTAATATTTAGTTGTCAGGGAACAGGGAATGCATATTGTAGCATTCTGCTGTGTTTGGCTGTTTGTCATGTGACTGCAGTGGAGGATTGTGGGTAGGATTCATGTTTGTTGTTGTTAAATCATTTTAGGGAATAGGTTAACATAAAAAAGGTATTTCTCCATGAACTAAAGCAAGAACTTTAATAAGAAAACAAGTTAAATATACATGCTTTCTTTGTTGTTTTTCCTGTATTTTGTAAATATTTCTCTCCAATCCGACTAAATAGAGTTCTCCAGATGAATCCTACCTTCTGTGTCGTGAGTATCTACCACTGACGTGACCTTTGCCATCACATCCAGGAGTGGGACAGCTGCTGGAGACGCACAACAAACACGTTATACATGATGCTGTTCAGAGTCCAGTCCTGTTCTGTAGATGAAGAACATATCTTTACCTTAATTCCAGCTTCATGTCCTGTCCAGCCTGATCTGCAGACACTGAAGGCATTGAAACAAGAACAAACATTAATAACTGCTGCAGTTACATCCTGTGGATTGGATTTAGTCTTTGAACACATATCCATCCTGTTGTGTATGTGTGTCCTGAAATATCTGCTGAGGAGTGACCTGATGATGTCACTCAAGTTGTTCATCGCAAAAAAGACGGGCCTCGCTATGATGCCGCTGACCTGGATGAAGCCTACCATGGTACAGGTCACCATGGTGCAGGTCACCATGGTGCAGGTCAAAAGAAGTCTCAGAGAACAGTCCAACACTTTCAGTGTTCTGTTTCATCAAATGGAAAATGTCTCTAAATCGTGTGTTTGTGTAGGTGTGTGTGTGGGTGGACACATTTTTCCTACATCATGGGGGCCATTTTCCCAAAAAAAACAGCCACGTGTATCATGGGGATCAATGCCCGGTCCCCATGGGTACAATGCAAATTACGTGTGGGGGGGTAGGTTTAGGACCCTGGTGTGAACTGAGTTTAGGTTAGTTTTAGTGTCAGAGACAGGGAGAACATGCAACATGTGAGGTTAATTTTAAGGTAAATGATCAGGGTCACCCCTAATTTACACTACATGCATTCCATTTCCACTCCGGTCCGACCTCCGCAGCAAATACACACCCATTATAATCAATGAGAGTGTTTGCACTGGCTGCGCACGGCGGCGCAGGGTGGCGGTGAGCGGACGGCCATACGTCAAAATTAGAACAGATCCTATTTTTGCCGGATGCCGGAGTCAATTTTTAAAGATTACGTCACACCAACAGGAAAAGAAACGAGCACAACATCCGTATTTTCAAAATAAGACACTTTTAGGCTATATTGATAAATATATGGATATATTTCTACACAAATGCTCTCAGAATGTATCGTTCTGTTTGGGAAGCAGATGGAAACATGTAGCWTGAAGCATATGTGTACAAACACAATAGACGTGGATTTTATTTTGAAATCACAAGTTTCAGAAAGCTGACAGCGGAACAGTTTCACCATAGATACCAAAAGGCTTTATATCGTTGTTTTCAGCTGTGCTTGGAGTTCGTCTTTCACAGAATTAATGATTTTTTGCTGTGACTTCCACATTTATCACTGAATTTATCGTGAGATCTGCTTCCTGCACGTCTGTCGGACCGGAGTGGAGGCTGAAATTGAGACACAAACAAACAGCTGCGACCTGCGCACCGCAGCGCAGCGGAGTGAAGACACATGTAGTATAAATCCGGGGTCAGGTTATAGAATTTACAAAAAATGAATGGAAGTCAATCCATGGTCCCCACGGGGATAAAAAACCAAACATGTGTGTGTACTTGTTTTTACTACAGAGTGAGGACCATTTGCACCATAGTTACTATCAAAGTGAAGACCWCTTCAGTATCCTCACTTTATTTGCAGCTCTGCTGTGCTTTACTAGTTAGGTTTAGATGTATGGTGTGAATTAAGTTCTGGTTCAAGTTAGAGTTAACTATAGACCAGTAAGGGTTAGTTTTAGAGAAAATGTCTGGGTTAGGCAGTAAATACAGTTACAAAAAATGAATGAAAGTCAATACAATGTCCTCAGTTTGATGCAAGTACAAAGATGTGTGTACACTTGTTTTTGTTACCTGATGATTTTTAACTATTTTCCAGGTACAATACAGCCTGGTGAGGACCCAAATACCGTTGGTGGGTTAGGGTTACACTATAGAAATGACCAGTAAAATTATAGAAGTAAATGCAAAGTATGAGGACAGAAGCAAGTGTGTTTGGGTGTGTGTGTGTGTGTGTGTGTGTGTGTGTGTGTGTGTGTGTGTGTGTGTGTGTGT